ACATAATATAAAATAGGGAACACGAGATAAATAGAACAAAAAAGATTTGTCAGAACGTACCCTTTTCCTCAGATTGAGGTGTTATTTATATAATCTAGTTTTTTTTCTTAATTAGGACTCTGATTAGGTGTTTTACTAATACAATTATAAGTGGTGGCCCTATAGAGGCCCAGTTAGCATAGTGGGCTCGAGTTTTTTAACTTGCGGGCTCTAGGCCCCAGTATTTCGGCCCACATGGTGGTATATTGTAAATGGCCCAATGTGGCCCATTTAGGTGTTTTTTAAGCCCCCCACTCTCGGACGAGTTGGGGAACTCGAGTTGCTTCGAGAGCACTAAATGTGACGTATAGTCGGAGCTTGCACGAAAAGTATAAGTTGGTGGTCGACCGTAAGAAACCCTTCATTTTCTTCGTCCAGGTTTTGGAAAATCCTCTCTCTAGGAAAGTCCACCTTAACACAATATGGGTAAGCCTTATATCCTCACTTTTACTTTTTATTTGTGTGGCTTGGCAATATATATTTTTTATCTCTCCATAATTCTACTCCATCCAACTTTGTCTTGAATGTTCTTGGAGAGATAAAAAAAAAATAGGATCGAAATTCTTGGAAATGGGGGCGTAGGACCCTCTTCGGGGTTGAGTGCCGCGAGCGGTGGAGACACAAGCGTCGTGGAACCAGGGCTAGGGTTAGCGCCGCCAGCGAGTGGGAGAGGCCCTGGCGGCGCCAGGTTCGGCGGTGTAGGAGGAGCGCCACCAGCGAGTGGGGGAGGCGCTACCATGGTCGCACCGCCGGCGAGAGGAGGAGGGTCCAACCAGATCCATACCCCATTGGGCGAACGAGATCGGGCAGTCTATCGGCTGCATTAGTGCCCCGGTAGGTGTTGAATGTTGGCATGTTCCTGGCATGCTTTACAATGCTTGACTAGATTCCTTGCATTGTTTTGTATGGTGGGACGGTAGTAACTTTATCTTAGAGCTTTGAGAGCTAGGGATCGACCACTCAGGTGGCTGGCGCAGATTCCTACATGAATCTCGCGTGGGACATAGTCAACATTGTTCGGAGGAAGGCAGTTCAAGTATGGTAGTGAAAAACCACGTTTGTATAATTGACCATCCATGTTTATAAGGCGTGAGGCCCTTGTTCTCAATATTCGGGCCTCATTCGGCTTGTGGGGGAGGGCCCAAAATTCTAAGTATTGCGTTATAAGGTTGATCCAACTGGGTTCTTCCTCATTGTATTGCACTTGTCATTCATCCTCTTTTATTTTCGGTTTAGGCGAGGTTAGGAGGGTGGTTCTTCTACTGCCGATGTTGGCCATGGAGCTAGCTAACTTGTCGAGCTTGTTAGCCAACACATTGCTAGCCCGTGGCACTTGTTTAACTTCGTGGCTTTCTACCTTCGATAGGAGCATAGTGGTAAGGGCCAGGTACTTAGACATTGTTTCCTCCTTGGCTTCATAGGTACCTAGTACCTGATTAACCACCAGTTGGGTGTCACTATAAATGAGCAACTTCTGAGCTCCTGTTGATGTAGATAGCTTAATTCCATCTATGATATCTTCGTACTCAGCCTCGTTGTTACAGACGGGAAACTCGAACCTCAGGGCGTACTCGAGTTCGTCGCCTTGGGGTGTAACTATGACTATTCATGCTCCCCGCCATAACTGGTGGCTGATCCATCTACATTGATAGTCCATGTTGGCAGTGCACTTTTAGAGTCGTAGCTCGCCATTTCCACTAGGAAATCCGCTAGAGTCTGGGCTTTGATGGCAGGTCGACTACGAAACTCGACTCCATATTCGCTCAACTTGATGGCCCATTTCGCCAGCCTTCCCGATGTTTCCGAGCTCCGAATGACTTGTTCCAGGGGGTAGTTGGTGAGTACTACTATTTGATGAGATTGAAAATATGGTTTCAATTTTCGTGCGGTGGTGATTAGGGCTAGGGAGAGTTTTTCCATGTTCGAGTAGCGCTACTCTACTCCTTGAAGGGCGCGACTTATATAGTAGATGGGTTGATGACATCTTTCTCCTTCTCGAACTATGACCTCACTAATGGCTTTGTGTGAGACTACTAAGTAGAACAGTAGGACATCCATGGCTTTGTGATTTGAGGGGGCGAGGCGAGGTAACATTTCAGCTCTTCAAAAACATTTTGACAGTCCTCAGTCCATTTGAACTTTTTGCCTCCCCTCAGTACTTTAAAGAATGGGAGTCCCTTATCTGCCGACCTGGATATGAAACTGTTCAGGGCGGCGAGGCATCCGTTAAGTTGTTGAATTTGCTTGATGGACCGTGGGGGAGTCATAGAAGTTATTACTTTTTTTTTTTTCGCGAGGTTGACTTATATTCCTCTTTGTGAAATCATGTAGTCAAGGAATTTGCCTCCTCTAACTCCAAACGAACATTTGAATGGGTTTAGCTTCATCCTATATTTTCTCAAGATGGCGAATCACTGTTGTAGGTCTCCAATGTGCCCCGATTTTTGAGTGTTTTTGACGAGCATGTCGTCAATGTACACTTCCATGTTTTTAATTTCCTATCAAGTCCGCGAACATTTCATTTACCAAGCGATGGTAAGTGGCTCCGGCGTCTTCAATCCAAAGGGCATCACCTGATAACATCAGTGACGAAACTGGCCTTCTCTTGGTCTTCACGGGCTAACCTGATTTGATTGTAGCCCTGGTACGCATCGAGGAAACTAAGGAACTCGCACCCCGAAATAGAGTCCACCAGTTGATCAATCTTGGTAGCGAGAAAATGGTCATTGGGGCATGCTTTGTTTAAATCGATGAAGTCTACCGAGAGCTCTCCCAACTCGTTTACCACACTATCCCATGTGATCTAAGGATTTAACATCATGACATGTCATTACTGAAGAATATCAACTTGCAGATTTATTGACAAAACCATTACGATGACGACGCACGAACACTGTGAAGATCAAGATTGGATTAGCCGGTGACACCTCCATCTTGCGGGGGCTTATCAGAGAATATTCCACAAAT